TTTATATCTGCTGAAATAAACTCCAAAGATGGATCTGGATCACTCATGAAGTGCTAGGAGAGGTACAAGGACTTTTTTTTTAACTGATGCCTAGACAGGTGAATTGGCTGGCTAGGAGATGTGACTCGCTCCTCCCTCCTGCCAATTCTTTGTAAATACTAATGCCCCCAACGACAGCATCATCACCTAGAACACCTTGCCTCATGGAGGAAACATAGGCATCTCTACTTCTAACTTTAACTGTTTCTCAAAATTAGACTTTTGGAAATTGAAGCAGTAATTCCAAGTCATCACCACCTCTTTCCCCAGGAGCATCACACATCACAAGAGACGCCTGCGAAAAATAAGAAGGGCATCTTTGTAATAGGAAGAGGAGGACAAAGAAGGGCAATTAATAGTCCCTCAGTGTTTCCTCCTTTGCTGATCTCTAATTGAAATCTCTCCTGTTTCACAACTAAATGGAGTCTCATCCTGAGATCCCATAATGTCATTGGAGATACAGAGTCTGCCCCCAGGAGAAAATGAGGGCTAGAGCAGAAGGAAATAATCCGGGCATTAGTTTTTAAGTCTCGGACTGGAAAACAGCTTGAGCACCTGTCTTTTTATTTGTGAGACACTCATTAGGGTGTAAGAACAAATGGAATCAGGAAAGCTTTGTTTGTCTACGACCTGCCATGACAGAATGCAGTCATTGGATAGATGGAAAATGTTTTTTAGCAACACTAACCCAAAACGTGACCACAGTGATGGCAGTGTGAATTAGGAGGAAAGGACACCAGAGTGGGAAGCAGACCTGTTTTCATTCCTGCCACATCATGGAACCTTAGAGACTCAACCTCCTCATTTTGTAAATGGGGAACTGAGGCCCAGAGTAGAGAAACAACTCACCCAAGGTCACAAAGTTAAATAGTGGCACAGCAGAAACTAGAATCCTGGGCTTTGGCCTTCTGATCCATTGTTCTCCCCATCTTATCCTACTGCCATCTTTGAGTCCAGGATACTAGTTACTGAATGAAGCCTGACTCTTGACACTTGCTAGCCATGAAATCATGGGCAAATCATTTAACTGAGCTCATTTTACTGACTTTATTTGCAAGATAGAGATGGTTATCACTGCAGTATCTACCTCACATAGCTGTTTTGAGCCCCAAATGAAATCTGTGTCAAGGGTGTTGCAAAATCTAAAGAGCTACATAAACATCAGTTATTATGTGTCTGTATGTTTGTGGGGAGAGAAGAGGACGACATAGATTTTAAACTTCCTAAAGATTAGAATCTCATCTACTTTCCATTTATGGCCCCCACTTTCTAAACCTGAATTAAATATCACACAATCACTACACCATCTACTACACACTGAGGCTAGGCTGTGTCTTCATCTCTCCTAGCCAATCAACTGATCAACAAATGTTTATTAAGCATGTCCCATGTGCCAAGGATTGTACTAAGTGCTTGGGATGGGGGCGGATCCTTTGATTCCACTGGTATAAGGAAATCTCAGGTAAGGAAATTCCCCTTACCGATGCAGGTCAGCACCTTCTCTGCAACTTACAGAATTGCCAACATTACTGAGGGGTAAGTGACTGGACCACAATCCAAAAGCCAGTGTCAGAAACAGGGCTTGGACTCAGTCTCCCTGGTTTTAAGCATAGGTCTCTGGTTGCTGTACCATACCATCTCTCTTAAGTGCTGCAATACAAAGACAAAAATGAAATGGTCCCTGCCTTCAAGGAGCTTACCTTCTTAGAGAAAGATAACATGAAGACATATATACATATATGCAGAATATTTAGATACATATATACACACATTTCAACACAAGGAAATCTGGAAGGGAGGTACAAGCAGCTGAGGCAAACAGGAGAGGGAGGTGGCACTCAAACTGAGCTTTGAGGGAACTCAGTAAACGTGTGTTGAATTGAATCATAGGGATCTGAGGCACTTGCTGCTACTACTACTCACATCTTATAGGACAGGGTTTTAATCATTTTTTATGTCATGGACCCCTTAGCCTGGTGAGGCCTATGGACCCCTTCTCAGAATAGTGTTTAAATACATAAAGTAAAATAGATAGGACCACAAAAGAAACCAATTATACTGAAATAAAACTCAATAAATTTTTCTGAGGCAAGTTCATGGACTCCTTAGGGGGTCACGGACCAAATTAAGAACCCCTGCTTAGGAGAATATAATGAGGACAATAAAATCTTAGCTTTCAAAGCTGCAAGACACTACCTTTTCTTGTTCTGTAGTCTTATCTTAGACCCTGTGGACGACAGCACACCAATACTGTCCATGGGGGGGTTTTGTGGCAAATATACTGGAGTGGTTTGCCATTTCCTTCTCCAATAGATAAAGGCAAACAGAGGTTAAGGGACTTGCTCAGGACCACACAGCTAGTAAGTATCTGAGACTGGATTTGCACTCAGGTCTTCCTGACTCCAGACCCAGTGCTCTACCAACTGAGCCATCCAGCTGGCCCTAAGAGGAAGAGAACTTAAGAGGCCAGCAAATCCAAACCCTTTTTTTTCACAGATGAGGAGAAATTGAGGTCTAGACAAGAGTGACAAATAGGGTCACACATCTAGGTGTATTTGAGGCAGGATTCAAACTCAAGTCTTCATTAATAAGCACTTTTTGTCTTGTTTTTTATTTTTGCCTAGGCAATGGGGTTAGGTGACTTGCCCAGAGTCACACAGCCAGTAAGTATCAAGTGCCTGAGACTGGATTTGAACTGAGGTCCTCCTGACTCCAGGGCCAGTGCTCTACCCACTGTGCCACCTTGCTGCCCCTGACAGGCACTTTTAGAAATGCTTACTAAGTGTCAGGTGCTGTGCTAAGGTCTGAGGACACAAAGAAAACGTAAAAAACCATTCTTGCCCTCAAGGAGCTTATGTTCTAAAGGGGAAGACAATTTATACATAAGTCAGCATATGCAAGACACACAGTTAATAGTCAATAGACATTTATTAAGTGCCCACTACCGTGCCAGCACAGGGCATACAAACAGGACAGCCCCTGCCCTCAAGAAGCTTACAATCTAATGGAGGAAGACAACACACAGAGGGAAGCTGAAAAGTGAGTGGGGGAAGGAGGTACCTGGTCCTCGGCCCCTCTTGCAAAGGTGATGAGCACCATCACATGGGGTTCATGCTCATCCTGGGGGAAGCACCACATTCGAGGAGGAAACAAAGGGCAGCATCAGAGGGGAAATGGCTTAGGTGGAAAGCATTGGTACGCGGAGAGTTTGGGAAGGGTCTCGGGCAGGGACAGAGCCTGTGAGCCACGAGAAAGCAGCCATAAATTCTAAGAAGCCAGGGTAAAGAAGAGGAAGGTGTTAGGCACACGGGACAACTAGGCCAAAAGGGTGAAATAGCAAAAATGCCCTTTAGGAAAATCACTTTTATTGTGACTGGGCTGTGTGGAGGATGAGACTTAAGGCAAGGAAAATAATCAGGCTGAGGCCTACTCAAGTGGTGGCTGTGGGGGTGCTGAGAAGGGGATGTTTGTGACAAATTACGTCCAGAAAAGACGACAAGACTCGGCACCTGATTGACTATGCTGGGGGAGAGGGGCCTGTCTGGGGTGAGACAAGGTGAGTGGAGACAGCGTCAGGTCTGAAGTCAGGAAGACTCTTCTTTTATAGTTCAAATTGGCTTCAGACACTACTAGCTGTGTGACCTTGAGCAAGTCACTTCATCCTGTCTGCCTCAATTTCCTCATCTGTCAAATGAGCTGGAGAAGGAAATGGCAAAGCACTCCAGTATCTTTGCCAAAAACGAAAAAACCAAAACAAAACAAATGAGGTTAGGAAGAGTTGGACAAGGCTGAAATGACTGAAAAACAACAAACAAGGCCAGAAGCCAGATGCAGGGGGTTCACAAGACAGAGGAAAGCAGAGACACCAAACGTTCCAAAGTTAGCCACGGACATAATTGGACAACAGCTAGCTGACATGGCAGGATGCAGTGAGGGATTTTCAAGGACCAGGGACAGTTTTCCTTCCATGGCCTCCCAATCCCTAACTTCACTGATCCAATCACCGAGGCTAACAGTTTGGGAGGCCTCTTGAGCTAAGGGCCTGAAGGCAACGAGCTGGGAACTGTCCAGAGTCCTGGCCAGACGCTCTCAGGCCCCACTGCAGTAGAGATGGAACCAACTTTTCAGACGCTCTCACTGTTCTCCAATGCCCAGGAACTACTCATCAGGGAGGGGGTGGAGGGGAACATTCGACTGGTCAGAGAATCGGCATCTAGGGAAAGTGGTAGGGGAGAGGCCAGGAAGAGAGGAAGGCCAGGCCTGGAGAGGAAGGGGCCGGGACTTACTCCTGAGAAGTCTGTAAAATGTAGAGGACTGCAGCTGGAGCCAGAAGACCTGACTCTGAATCCCTGTTTTTTGTCACTCCCTAGCAGTATGATATGGTAATAACCCATGAGGGTTAGAAAATAGTTTACAGAAACCTGCACTGGATGAAAAGTCAGACAGAACCGCATACTTCTCTGAAGAGAACAATAATATTACATAGTATATTATGCTTGCTGATATAAACAAGTGGCCAGTCCTGACTTCATGACCCTGGCCCCTGCACAGAATCATCACTATCACTGACAGTTCAAACAGGTCCTGGGGATAATACTGCACAAAGCCATTCCCTTACTCTGGCATGCTGAGAATCACATTTTCCATCCCAAGATGCCCCAGACCTGCCTTGGGGTTGCTAATATTTTCCACTGAAAATTTGGGAATAGAAAGTTTCCCTTTGGCACTGGCCTCTGGGCTTGGAGGGTCCACTGGCCTGCAGGCTGAGAGCTTTCTGGACCTTTTCCACGCCTGGTGAATCATCTTTTCCATGTTTCAGCAGGAAGATGACACAAGGCATTCAACTTCTAAATTTCCACTCCTTCATCCATAAAATAGGGATAATACTTCCTACTACCCCCTCAATCTCACTAGGGTGTTGTGAGAGTCAAAAGATAGAGAACGTTATTTCCAACCAAGACTGCACAGAGAACAAAGAATTTATTCAGGACAAATCATAAAGTACATAGCTTCCAACAGGTGGTTTCCTCACTACCAAAATACAGATCCTCTTGCCCAGTGCCTTAATGCCCAAGCACTTTTTAATCCCTGTCACAGCCCCCTCCCCCAGCCCCGACACACAAACCCGACACTCAAGGCTTCCCTGTGGGAAGGACACAGGGCACAGCCCAAATGCCTGTGGTCAGTGATGGAACCCACCCACCAGAGGCTTGGAGGGCCAAGAGCCCAAGTCCTGCTGTTCCAGGTAAGCGGTCCACTCCTGACGAGCAGCACAGTACGTCCCTGCCTGCAAAGAGGAGACAGCCCTGAGTCTGAGGCAGGGCAAGGGAGAGGAGGAAGAAACCATGGGGTTCAAGACAAGGCCTCACTACTGGTGGAAGGCACAATATGAACAAGCTAACTAAAAAGAGTGATCACTGACCTTGGCCACCTCATATGTGTCCAGTGCCAAGAGATCAAATCTTCCCAGGGCCTGGGCTGCTTGGCGGAAAGCCCGGAGGAAAGCAGCCTTGCAGAGGCGGGAGGGAGGACCGAGGGAGCCTCTGGGTAGAGAAAGAAGAAGCTGTGCCCTCCAAAGCACCCCCAGTGCCACCTTCAGGCCCCAGCAAAGTTACCAGCTCTGTCGGTGTTCCATTTCCATCTCCTCCCCATCTCGGGCCCCGCCCCCACACTTCCTACCATCTCCACATCTTCCTCCTTCCCTCCAACAGCTGGCCTTACTCTGACCATACGCGGCCCGTGTTTGTGTCCACAGCTTCCAGGCTGGTGTCTCCCAGGCTCCAATTGAGGCTGAGGCCCTGGCAGCTGGAGGGTGGGGAATCCTGGGGAGCCACAGGTGGTCCCACAAACAGGTGCAGGGGATTCCGAGCATAGGGAGGCGGCAGACCTGGCCGTCCCTCTAGGCAGGGCCGGTCATGGATGACCCGACTCAGAGTTGAGGGGTCATGGCAGGAGTCAGCTGTGGGGGAAAAACAGAAGTCTCAGGGGATGAGGGTCATCTCTCCTCAAAACATAACCCACCCACCTCTCCAGACTGCCCCCACCCCATAAGACTTAGAGTTAGAAAGGCCCTTATCGAGATCATCCAGTCCAACCACCTCACTATACAAATGAGGAAACTGAGACCTCGAGAGGGGCAGTGAATTGTCCTTCCACCCCAGACCCAGTGCCTTCCAAGACCCTCCCCCTCTCTACCATCCTCCCATCCTGGGCCTCTCACCAACTATGAGGCTGGTTGCATAGAGTGGGGGCAGGAAGTGGGCCAGTAGGCCCCCTCCCAGCCCCAGCACCACCCATCGAGCCACCTTATCACTGGCCGACAGCGAACAGACCCTAGCTGCCCGGAACGCCGGGGCGAGGTAACAGACTGGGCGCAGCTCTCCCCCGGCGTGGGCTTGAAGACGAAGAGAAGGACTATGGAGAGAGCCCTCTACGGAAGGGAGGCTGGAGGGGGAGAGGAGGGGAGAGATCAGGGAGGTGAAGGCAGGAGAACTGCAGGTCTTCAGATCTCTTTGTTCCATCCTCCCTCCCCACCTTGACCATCCCTCCCCACTCCATTCAGAGACCCCCAAATCCAAACGTCCTGCATACTAGATGTCATGTGCAGCACCCGCGGGGGTTTCACTGAGGTATAAGTGTAAGAAGATTTTGGGCTTCAGGGCAAAAGGGGGCCCGGGGCCTGGCCGAGGGGTCAGCACTGATCGTTCTGCCCCCTCTGGGCCCCCGCTGGCCACCAGTAGGAGCTGCCGGAACAGGAACCTGAGAAAGATGGAGAAGATGACCGGTGGGTAGGTATCTCGTGATCAGCACCCCGACTAACCGCCCCCTCTTTACCCCTCACCTGACCAAGGCACGGCGGGCAATGACCAAGCTGTTAGTGTCGTGGAGTCTTCGGCCCATGAACTCAATCCAGCCCCTATAGCCGCCTGAACCCGTACCCAGAGCAACCAGCTCATAGGTCTCTCTACAGCTGCCTCTGTCATCTGGGACTTCTGTGGGAAGAACAAGGGGAGAAGGGGATGGTGGGGATGGTGGGAGGAGGTCTGGCAAAGAATCCTGAAGGAAGGGGAGGGGATGCTGGGGAAAGAAACAGGAAAGGACGACATGGAGGAGATCATGAGATGAGCCCTAGGAGGAAGGAAGGACAGGAAAACCAGGAGGGGAAGAGATTCTAGGGACTCCCTGCCCCCTCCCAAAATATGATGTGGGACCATGGAAGATGGGGGGGGTCTGGGGAGGAAAGTATCAGGCTTCCATACCCCTTTCAAGGATGACAGCTGCTATACTTCGCTTGCAGCCCTGGTAAGGGGAGTTTTCACCTATCAGGCGGTCAAACCCAGAGCTCACCACAGCCGCACAACGCTGCTCATGGGTCACAATGTTCTCTAAAGGAAGGGCAGGAATATCATTGGGGGGCAGGAGAGGAGAGGAAGGACCCCAGCCCCAATGCTGATTCTAGTCTCCTTTCTTCATCCAGTACACTTTGGGGAATTTGGGCTGGCTCCTGGGACCAAGCTCAACTAGAAGAATGGGTGGAAGTGCTAACTCCTGGGAGCAGCTGGGCTGTCTGGGAGAGGAAGGCGTCCGCCTCACTAGAGGTCTCCAAAGAAGGCTGAGGACCATGGGCAGTGATGTCAAGAGAAACCTCCCATTCAGATATGACCACTCTGACTCAAAGCCTATAATCTGGGGAGCAGCAGAAAGGAGTTAGGAGGGAAGGCTCACCTGCAGTTAAAGAATAGAGCGGGAAGCTGTCAGGATCTCTGAAAAGTGCTGTGAAAGAAAAAAGGGGAGCTGCAGGATCTCTCTTTTAGCTGGGACACAACACTCTGCTCCTCTCCCCAAAGATGAAAGTGGGCAGCTGAAGGGGACGAGGTTGGGATGATCTGACAACCCAGGAAGCCCACAGCCCAATCCCCACACACAAACCAGGACTGGGCTCGGGGAAGAGAGGAGGGCAGGGCAGATGGTCACCTCTCCTCCCACAGGCCTGGGCCTCACTTCTCTACTGTTGTGATTAGGGGATGGCCTGCTGGCAGTCTAACCTCACAGACATTTGAGTTTGAAAAGGTCCTTAGACCTTAACATACCCCTGTCATTCTACAAATCAGAAAACCGAGACCCTGAGAGCAGCTGTGATTTGCCCAAGGTCACAAGAGCAGTCAGCAGCAGAGCAGCACCAGCCTTCCTTTTGTGGGAGACAGAGCTGCCCTTCCCCCTCCTGAGGGAGGAGTACCTGGGTTCTCCAGCTGGGCCCTGACCCATGTGAGAGCAGCGATGGCTGCCTGCCCCTTTGCCTCCTTCTTGCTGCTCCCGGTCCCCTCAGGACAGGACACCTCACCCAGCACAGCACGGACAGAGAAGTGTCGGAAGGGGACTGAAGGAGAAGAGGATTTTAGAGTCAGGAAGAGGAGTCTCCACAGCCCCCACCCCAGATCCCTCAGACCTTCCTCCAAATAGCTTCTACATGAAAAATCAAAACCACATGTTCACATTTATAGATTCTACGAGAGGACCTTATTAGACATCCTAGTTTAATTCTCCCCTCATTTGAAAAAAGAAGAAACAGATAGATGGGCACCCCTTAGTTTACAGTTCTTTGCCACAAAAAAAAAAGAGCTGCTGTAAGTACTTTTATACATATGGGTTCTTTTCCTTTCTTTGCTCCCTTTTGGGTGATGCTCTAGTAATGATAACACCGGGTTCGAAGGTATGCCCACTTTAGTAATGTTTGGGGCACAGTTCCAAACATAGTGCCAGAATGGCTGAAGAAATTGTGGCCTATGAATATAACACTGTTGTGCCATAAGAAATGACAAAGTTTCAGAGAAACCTGGGAAGACTTGTGTGAACTGACAGTCAAAGAAGGAAGCAGAAGCAGGAGAACAGCTGATACAGTGAAGGCCTTGAGAACTCCCATCAACACAACCCCCAAGCATAATTCCAGGAGACTCAGGATGAAGAAAGAAAGATGGAGATGGAGAAAGGATGGACTCCACATGCAGAGTGAGAAACACATTCCTGGACATGGATCAAGGAGCAGCATTTTGCCCGACTGCGCATATTTGTTATAAGGGGTTCGATTTCCTTTTATCAAGTGGGGGTGGGGAGAAGAAGAAAAAACACTTGTTAACAGAAAAAAGTAAAATTTAAAATAAAAAAAAAGAGGAGACTAATTTGTAGAGTACTGGAACAATTTGCCTAACCTCACACACGTGGCAGTGTGATGGGAGCAATATGCACGTTGGTTCCCATCTCACCAACCAGAATACCGAGTCCCCAGGGTCAGAGGCCTGGCTTTCTACCTCTCTGCCTGTCCTCCTGCATCCCATCCCATCCCAATGCTCAGTACACAGTGACCCACGCCCCTCCTCCTTCACTTACCCTGGGCTTCATGGTCCACAAAGCACAGAGTAAGGCCCATGCCCTCCGCATAGCGAGTGAGGAGGCTCAGCGCCTGGCCTGGAGGAGGGTCTCTGTGCCCTAGGATCAGCTCCCTCAGCACAGCAGGAGGATCTGGAAGCAGCCCTAAGAGGAGTGAGGGGAGCACAGTGAATCACAGAGCTCAAGTGGCCCGAGAGATCATTTAGTCCAACATCTTGCTTGATCAGAAGAAGAGCCTAGGGCCAAGGCAGGCTAAGTGACAGCCAGGGTCACAGCTAGTGAGCGGCTGAGCTGGTCCTACAAGCCAAAGGCCTTGACTCCCACCCCAATGCTCTTTCCACCACCCATTACCTCCCTCACACCAAGGGCCTTCGCTGACCCTCTCCCCAACTCCTGCCTGCCTCCAGTGAAAAACAGATTTGGAAGGGACCCATGACGAAATCAGCCTTTCCTCTATCTCATTCCAAAGAGAAGTTATCTACCCTCCTCTTCAAAGACCCTCCGAGAGAGAACTCGCCACCTTCCAAGGCACCCCGTTCCACCTCTGAACAAGGCTGGCCAGTCATTCATCTTGACATCAAGACAAAATATTCCTCTCTGCAACTACTACCAATTACTCCAAGAAAGGGTATGCCAGTCTACTTCCCTGTGACTCTATTCACCACCCCTGTAACTTTCCAAACCAAAATGGCGCTCCACAAATGCCATTTGGACAGTCACAAACACCCAACAAAGACAAAAAATAGGGGAGAGAAAGTGATAAAGGAACAAGAAATATAATCAACCAAACAAAACAAAAACTTAAGATTCAACTTGAGAAAATGTTGACTGTCATATATGGGGGAAACAAGTTGAAAATTCAGAGGAGAGTGACTAGTGATGAGAATAGTAATAATACAGAAGGTCTGTGTACATATGCGTTGCCCTCCTCTGTTAGACTAGTAAGGACTGTCCTTTATTATCTGTAAACCTGGTCCTCAGTCCAGTGCTTGGCACATAATAACAGCTTAATAAATGATTTCTCATTCAATCAAAAGAAGAGCCAAGATAAAGTCTACTTCCTCCTCCACATGACTTCCTTTCAAATACTTAGTAATAATAGCTAGCATGTATATAGCACCTTAAGGCTTGCAAAGCCCTTTACAAATATGATCTCATTCGAGCTTCATAATAACCCTGGGAGGGAGGTGCAATTATTATCCCCATTCTTACAGATGAGTGAAGTGAGGCAGGCAGAGGTTAGCAAATCACCTTTGAACTCAGGTGTTCATGCCTCCAGGTCTGCTGCTCTAACCACAGTGCCACACAGCTAGCAGCCTGAAAACTACTCTCCGATTCCCCTTACTCCAGAGTAAACATCCCCAATTGTTTAACCTGATTCCTGCCCCTGCTCCTGCTCCCACTCCCAGCACCAACCCTCCAAATCCCCAGGGCTTTGCCCTACCATCCCCCGCGGCCTCAGCCTCCAGCTTCTTCTTCTTCTCTTCTCCCCTAAGGGGCTCCTCCGCCTGGGAAGGCTGAGGCTCGGAGGAAGCCTGGGCAGAGCCTTCCAAGGGTCTCCAGGGAATGGGGCCCAGGCTGGGGCCAGGGGACATCTGCAGAGAGGCTGCCAGGCGGGGCTTCCTGCGGGTGGCCTCATCCATGCTGGGAAAGCAGCTGCTGAGGACTGGGGAGGGAGGAGAGACAAGCACAAGGTGAGCACAGCCCACACCCGACAGTAATCGGGGCACTTCCATAGCGCCTTCTAAAGCGCTTCTACAAACAGGATCACATTGGATCCTCACAACCACCCTGGGGGCTATCCCCATCTTACAGATGAGAAAATTGAGGCAGGCTGAGGTGAAGGGCCCCGCCCAGGGGTCAGAGGGCTCAAATCCTCATTTTCCAGGCAAGGAAACTGAGGCATCGCGAGGGCGCTGGAGGGGAATCTCAGGGCCCCCTCGTCTGGTCCTTATCATTTTTATTATCCCGGGGCAGGTGTGGGACTTGGCCAAGGGCACGCGGGTTAAGCGGCCCGGCCCGGCACCGCGGGGGCTCCGAAGCAAGTCTCCCACCTCCAAGCTCGGGCTCTTCGCAGGGCTCCAAGTTTCTGGGGGGGTTGGCTCCGGAGGAAGCCCGCCAGCTTTCCAAGGGGAAGGGACGACGGAGAAGCTGCGGAGCAGGAGGAGAAGCCTCGGGGTTCAGCGATTCTCCCGCACCCCACTTCTCCTCCTCCTCCCCCCCAGCTTTTCACCTCGCTGCTCGGCTTCTGCACGTGGCGACCGTTACCCACGTGGGACGCCCGTTCTCTACGGCGGTTCCCTTGGTTCCCAGACCCGCCTTCTTCCGCCGCGCTTAGGCCAATGAGAATCCAGCTAGCGGGGCCGCTTGCAGCCAATCAGAGGGCCCGCTGCTTAACGTAGCCCCTGTACCCCGCGGAGCCTGGGAAAAGCTGTTGGGGACAGGTTTTCTGAAGCGAAAATTTTTAATCTTGTTCGTTGAGTCATAGACTCAAACAAAAAAAGTCGTAGAGGCATAATCAAAATCAACAAGCATTTATTAAGTTCTTACTACTCACCAGGCATTGTGCAAGCTGGAGATACAAAGAAAAGGCAAAAACAGTGCCTGCCCTCAAGAAGCTTCTATTCTAATAGAAGGACAGCGTGTAAAAATCTATATATGCAAAATAAAAAGAAACAGTCCGACTAGATGATTTCCAACGTCCTTTCCGGTTCTAAAACTAACGTGGCACAGACTCCCATCTTCATCCCATGAGTGAAGCCAAACTTAATTTCTCCTGATTGGCCCCCACTGGAACAGGTAGCTCTCAAGGGAGAAAGCCAGGCTACCTATACAGCCCTATGAAAGAATGCTCAAAATGACTACTAATTAGAGAAAGGCAAATTAAAGCAATTCCAAGTTTCTATCTCACATCCATTGGAGTGACAAAGATGATTGAAAAAATAAAATGATAAATGTTCGAAAAGCTCTGGGCAAACAGGTACATAGAGGCTGGTATGATGGCATCACATCACAGCAGGATCTGAGTCCATTTGAAAAATTATCATGTGATAAGTGGCATAAGAGAAGCCAAGTGTATGTTTCTTGGTGATCACATAGCTGTACCCACTTACACCTGGTTCATTTCTCTGCTTCCTACACTTCTAGAGTAGTGTATAATTTTAGCCACCAAGTGGTATTATCCCCATGCTACCGACCAGATTGTATGTAGAATCAGTACCCTGGGCAGGGAGATGAGGAACAGCTTTTCCTTAAGGGCTGCAGTCTCCCTCTCAATCCACCAGTATTTATTAAGCCTCTGCTATATTACAGGCACTGTGCCAGGGTGCTGGGGAGACAATCAATCAATAAACATTTATTAAACATCAACTAGGTGCCAGGCATCATGCTATTCACTGGAGATACAAAATAGGCAAAAGATAGTCCCTGCCCTCAAGGACTTTATGAACTAATGAGGGTTAGCATGGAAACAAATCTATAAGAAGCAAGCTATATGCAAGATAAATAGGAAATAATTAACAGAGAGAAAGCAGTGGAGTTAAGAGAGTTTGGGGAAGGCTTCCCAGTAAAAGGCGGGACTTTAGCTGGGACTTACAGGAAGCCAGGGAGGTCAGTGGTCAGAGCAGAGGAGGAAGACCATCCTAGGCATGTAGGACAGTCAGAGAAAATGCCCAGAGCAGAGAGAAGGTTATAAAACCTGAAAATGCATGCAGAGACAGTCCATTATTCTGTGAGATCCTTCATATTGGATTATCTTCTGACTTTCTTTGTATCCCCAGCACTTAGTAGGTGCTTAACAAATGCTACTGCTTGACTGTCAGACAAAGGGGTTTCTACAAGGGCTGTAATTCTGAACTGGTGGGGCTAAAAGCAAACTTGGTTACCTGGGGTAGGGTGTTGTTATTAAAGGGCTCTTGGATACAGAGGGGAGGTGGAGGTGATAGTGGTTTGATTTTCGAGGCAAGTTTAGTCTGTTGCTGTTTAAGTGCTGTGGCAAGGGCAATTAAGGTAAACTGAGGCAACAAAGTTCTGAGCACATTCAATTTATTGGTATGAATAGCTTTTACCATTAAAAGGGGTCGTTAGCTCCTCAGCAAGCCAAAATACCCTGAATGAGGGTTGATAGATTATTTTCATGGACAAAAGAGGGAGCATCTAAAAACTAGAAGGCAGCATCATAAATGGGGAAAAACAATATGATTGATTACAAAAGTCAGAAGCATCGTATACATGGAAGATAATATAATTGTCTGGAAATTTGGAATGCAGGGCTAGCAACAACCCCTTCTGCCATCTTGTCACTGTGGAAAGCTCATTGGTGGTATCCACCTGCCTGGCTAACTAGTGACACAGTGGTAACAGATCGGATTTTCTTGAAGGACAGTGTTGCAGAGATAACATACCACACTCGCTGATATCCATCTATATCCTTCCAGGATGACAGATTTCCTGGACACAAGAACAGAACAGTGATTAGCAGGAAAATTGGACTTCCAAACTTAACTCAGAGACAATGAAATGGGACTTACAGTAGTTACACAAAATGTTGGTAGTGATGCAGAATGAAATCAATTACAGAAATATGATATCAATTTGATTTTCTTAGGTTAGGGCTGTTTATGAATGAGTGAGGTGCATTAAAGTGTTCCCTCCCTTATTCTTAACCAGGTCAGCTGAGCTCTAAGGCTCACTCCAATATGGAGTATAAATCGTCTCCTGAAGGTCATGATTGAAACAGGTCATGAATGCCTTTGGTTAGGGACCAGTGACCAATGTGAGTTAGGGTAGAGAGGGGTGATAAGACAAACTGCAAATCCTTGGTCCTTTCTGGTGGTCAAGGTGGGGGAAATAATAGGTAGGAAATGTACTTCACAGAGGTAGAAGAGTGGTGAGGCTCAGATGGTATTTTGGAAGGTGTTTTGCTAATTTTAAAGCTTTATATAAATATCAGTATTGTTAGTATTGAATTGATAAATCAACAAGCAATTATCAAGCCTCTATTATGACTAGGCACCTAGTCATAAAGAGTTTCCATTCTATCCGAAGAAGCTCAGATGGTATTTTGGAAGGTGTTTTGCTAATTTTAAAGCTTTATATAAATATCAGTATTGTTAGTATTGAATTGATAAATCAACAAGCAATTATCAAGCCTCTATTATGACTAGGCACCTAGTCATAAAGAGTTTCCATTCTATCCGAAGAAGCTCAGATGGTATTTTGGAAGGTGTTTTGCTAATTTTAAAGCTTTATATAAATATCAGTATTGTTAGTATTGAATTGATAAATCAACAAGCAATTATCAAGACTCTATTATGACTAGGCACCTAGTCATAAAGAGTTTCCATTCTATCCGAAGAAAACAATATGTACATGTGTAACAAGATGGGTTTTACCAGGGGATGCTCCCACTGTGGGGATTAGGAGGCTAGGACACTTACCTTCTTGTTTTCTATTAGGGCCCCCTCAGAGGTGGAAGCACGCATTAGTACAGATGGGGGTCAGTCCCAGGGGAGCTAAACCTCCAAAGAGAGGGGCCAGGCTCTTCTCTTGGCTCATTATCTCTGGTTTTTCGCACCTGGAGCCCCAAGAAAAAGAACTTAAAGCTTAGATTTCATTTACCCCAAAGAGGACCAGCAGAAAAGTCCTCAATGTACAATGACCCATAAACAGCAGCAGTCATAGACGTACTATTATAATTACCTGGGGAAGTTGAGAAATCAGATTATGAAATAGTTTGAAGGACCGCTGAAATGACATCGAATGTCAGCTCTTCTGGTCTAAACAGTTCCTTCTAGTTTCATGTCTTATAGCCAGCCAGGTCAGGGGTTCTGCTGGTGGTCATCCTTTGCAAGGCAGAAACTCTTCCTGCTAGTCTATATATACAGCCTCAGTCTCTCCTTTGAGGCTAGAGTCCAACATCACCATTTGACCATTGGCTATGTCAAACTGGATGTCCCACAGACATCTCAAACATAACTCAAATTCACAGAATCCCAAACTGAACTCATTTCCCCCCCCCAAAACCCACCCTATTCCAAACTTTCCTGCATCTATTGAAGGCATCACCATTCTTTTTCAGTTACCCAGGTTCATAACTTCATAATCTTGGACTTCTCACTTGCCCTCACTCCACATATCCAATCAGTGGCCAAATCTTGTTGTTACTACCCCCCAAACACCCCTCAGATCTGATCTCATCCCTCTAACACACAGCTACTATTTATCAGCTCTCACCTAAATGAATACAGCAGGCTCCCAAGTGGTCTCCCTGATTCAAGTCTCTCCCTAGCCTGTGTGGAAAGATCAAAACTAATATTCTCTCTGATTTCTTCTGCATTGATTCTGCAATGTAACCAACGTTATGCTGTATTAATTTATAGCTGGATCTGCATCCACCTGTCTTGAATTAAGCTGAGGAATCCAGCTAGGTCTGCAGCCACCTGGTGTTGAGCTCAGGAATCCAGCCGAGCTAGCTTAAAGTTAGTTTAGTTTAAAAGAAAGGTTGTTATGTCTCATGCCAGTATCCCTTAGGGATACATCATGGATATCTGTTTGCTTTAGTGCCAAAAAATCGCCACCCCCAAAAGACATGACGTCTGTCCTTTCCTGTTTTTGTGTAGTTAAGGGAGTTTTTAATCTCTTCCAAGGAGACAGCAAAAATTACTCTAACAAAAATTATCAGATTCAGATGGGCCCCATAAAATAATTATTACACCTGAATTGTTAGAGAGAGGTATAATTAGCCTTACCTGAATGCCAGCCCACTTTACCTGAATGCTAGCCCACCTTTCTCTGTTTGGCCAATAGAAACTTTCCTGCCCCAATTTTATAACCCATCACCTTTTCTCCGCACCTACCAAGACCATTCTTTGTTGTACATTAATAAAGAGGGTCCCCTCCTTCTCCGGGGGTTGCTGGCTTTGTTGAGGTTGCCAGAGGGACGTCCTTTGTAAACAGTTACGCAGGTCACTGTTAATAAACTGATCTAGCTCAGAATCTATGCCTCAGTCTACCTTTATTACATTTACTCACCACCCCTGCAAATGGTATTTTCCTTACGTGCAGATCTGATCATGTGATACCATTATTCAAGAAATGGCTCTGCCTGTCCATTACCTCTAAGATAAAATAGAAATTTATGAAATCCTTTTTTTAGCTTTTAAAGCCCTATACAAAATTTTTTACTTATCGGAATCATTTGTCTTTCCAAAATATATGCATACATATTTAGACAGTCAATTCATACGTAAAATTGCTGATGCCACTGGTGTTTTTAAGTGCCCTAATAATTTAAAGTGGCTTCTCAA